TTTTTAAAGGTAGGGCATCACAGTATAAACTCTGGTGTCAAGTTCAACTGTTATTTAATGCTTCATTCATTCCTAATTATAGTCAATGTATGAGGCCTACTAACAATTAACTGCCCTTTAGTCTGTGTAAAGAAATGATGTATTTATCAGTGGGGGGAATGGACCCTTGCATAGGAAGTCCAGAGAACATGAATTTATTAATGGGTCTAGAGCAGAGGCCGGTAAACTATAGCCCTTAGGCCACCAGCTGGTGCTTCCCCCTGCCTCCTCCAGAGATGGGTGTCTCCCTATGTCACCCAGACTGAAGTGCAGTGGCCATTTACAGCAGTAATCATAGGTCACCCTGGGCTGGAGCAATTCCCCCCCAGTTCAGTCTCCTGAGTAGCTGGAACCACTGCAATTGGCTGTTTTTGTTTTTTTTTAATTTTTAAAAACTTACTTTATTTTTTTTTAGAGACAGGGTCTCACTCTGTCTCTGTCACCCAGGTTGGAGTGCAGTGGCATGATCACAGCTCACTGCAGCCTCAAATTCCTGGGCTCAAGCATGCCTCACTCTCCCAAGCAGCTGAGGTAACAGGTGCGTGCTACCACACCTGGCTACATTTTTAAAAGATTTTTTTGTAGAGACAGGGTCTCACTATGTTGATCAGGCTGGTCTTGAACTCCTGGCCTCAAGCGATCCTCCTGCCTTGGACTCCCAAAGTGCTGGGATTACAGGTGTGAGCCACTGTGCCTGGGCCTTTTAAAAAAAATTTTTTTTTTAGATATGGGGTCTCACTATGTTGCCCAGGCTAGCCTATGCTTATAAAGTGTTACTAGAATACATCCACATTCATTCATTTATATGTTGTCTCTGTCTGCTTTTGACAGAACTGAGTAGTTCCAACACAGATCATAAGGCCTGCAAACTCCAAATTATTTATTATATGGCCCTTTACAGAAAAAGTTTGCTGACCTCTGGTCTAGGGCACTATCCAGGAGAGAATAAGTTTTCTAGTCTACTTGGCAGGTGTATTCCTTTATTACAGCTCACTAACCACTAGTCTCCCCTAACTAACCTCTCTTACTCTAATTTCAAGATCACAGAGAGAAATTTGATTTCCCATATAGGCTTGTCTACAAGGAGAAGACGTACTGACCAGCCAATGTGACATTTCTACTGAGTGATAATTCTACTTTTCACTGTGTGTTAATTAAAGAACTGGCTTTCTGGATTTATACTTCAGTCACTCATGAAGTGGGTTAGCATGGGACAGTCCTTTGGAGACCATCAGCTCTGATATACTAAAAAATAAAAGTCAAGTTTCTGTTCCTGCAAAGTTAAGGACCAGCTCCTGAAACATGGAGATCCCTCTAAGGTATCCACCCAATGAAGCCCCACTTGGGTCAAAAGCCTCCCTTCAAAGATTTCTGTGATACCTCACTCTACCCTACCAAAACTTAAGGATTGACTACACATCATTTCTTAACATCAGATGCAAAAATACCACATAATTGTCACATAGAGACTCAACATTCCATATATAGTAGCTGCTTCAGTGACTTTTTTTAACTAGATGAGCGCTTCCTTTCTTCAAGTGTCTGATATAACACAAATGTTTTAAAAGATCATCCAAAAGAAAGTTAACATCAAAATCAACATTTTGGAAATGTTTCAAGACTAAATCATAAGCTACCTGTCAGCATCTGTATTTTATCAGGAGATTTGTGTTACTCTGAAAAGCTGTCATTCACACTCGACTCATCTGAATCAAGATTTCTTACCTGACTTGGGCTGATCTTTTCTTCAGCAGCTGTGGAATGTTGACAAGGGTCTTCCTTTGCTCCCTCACAGGGGTCTCTCATAATTTCCACCTGGTCCCCTTGATCTCTGAAGACCTTTAGCTCCATGCTCTTGGTTTTCTCTTCCCTATCCAAGATCCCAGAAGCCACAGAACCTCCTGCTGTGGAGTCCACTAGCCCACACTGCCCAGGCTCACCCCCATGATCCAAGGTCTCCCAGGTTTCTTCACCACAACTTTCCGCATGAGTCCTCTGCAGCTCCAAGGGCAATGCCCTACTCTGACTTACAAGAGAGCATGAGGCTCCAGGTTTTACATCTGGAATCACACTTGGCTCAGAGTCAGCATGAAGCTCTTTGGAGACACTTATTGGGAGTTCAGAGTATATTTCCTGTACCACAGCAGACATGGAGGAATCAAGTGGAACTGGCTGAGTCTCCACTCCGGATGACAGCATTAGGGCAGATGTAGATTATGCAGTCAAGTCTTTTACATCAAACGGTTCCCCCTGACACAAATCAAAGGAAGGGATAAAAGTTTAAAACCTTGACAGGGTAGAAGAAAACTGTCTCAGTTCAAACTGGCTGAAATGAAGAAAATAAATTCTACTTCAAATGCCAGCATTATCTGGCACCAAAAAGTTCTCAATAAACTGAATTAGTGGATAAATAAATACCTTTACCTTTAATAGACATCTGTCTAATCTCAATTCAAATACTGCCTTATGAATTTAAATCTGAAGGACCAGCAAACGTAGATGAGAATAAGACATGCCTAAGCATCCAAGGGTAGACCTGATGTAAATTAGAAAATAAAGATGGTTTTCTACTTATTTTCAGGGCATGAACCCTACTCATTTTGTTCACTGCTGTATTCCCACTGCCTAGTGGGTACTCAGTAAATATTTGTTGAATGAATACATACTGAGGGACTCTGGAGAATCTGAAACACTGACTTATGGGACTTTAAGAATATGATACACTGATTTTTCTCTTTGCATGAGGATATGGAGAAAATGGAATTCCATTCCTTTACTGCTTACTAAATACTTGAGCTATACCTACCCAGACTATCCAGGACACTACTAAACCAGCTGTTTAGCGGAATTGTTCCTGATTTTTATCCTGCATCTAGAAATTTTCCAAGTGCTTTCATAGTCACCACTCATTTGAGTCTCACAACCACCCTGTGAGCTAAGTAGGGCAGCTATCAGCTGCCCATTATAGATCCTAACACCATACCTGAAGAGGTTAAAAGTGACCTGCCTAAAATATTACAGGTTTGTTGATGGAGATGGGCTCCTTGGGTCTCTGTGACCTGTGCCCAGGCGCTTGCTTTCCCCTGCCCACCACTGAGGTACGAGTGCTCTTAAAACTTAATCTTTGACCCCTCCCTTTTTAGGCTTCACTTTCGTAATGACCTCACCTTGTCCTGCAGCCTAGCCTCTCTGCTATGAGGATGACTCAAAACTGTCCCTTTAAACATAGAGTTACTACATGACCCAGCAATTTGACTTGTTGGTATATATTTGAAAAACCTATGTCCACACAAAAGATTGTACACAAATGTCCTCAGTAACACTACTTGCAATAGCCAAAAAGTGTAAACAATTCAAATATCTATCAACCGGTGGATAAACAAAATGTCATACAGCCACCCACACAATGAGATGTTATTCAGCCACAAACAGGAATGAAGTACTAATACATGTTACAATTTGGATGAACCTTGAAAACATTATGTCAAGTGAAAGAAGCCCCTCACAAAAGACCACATATTATAAAATAATCTAATAGAAAATCTAATTTATATGAAATGTCAAGAATAGAGACAGGAAGTAGATTAGTGGTTGCTTAGAGCTGGGAGTGTCGTGGAAACGGAGTGGTAGCTACCCCAGTTTCTTTCTGGGGTAATGTTGTATAATTGATCATGGTGATGTGTGTACAACTCTGTGACTATACTAAAAACCACTGACTTATACAATTGAAATTGGTCAATTATATGGCATATGAATTAAATCTTAATAAAGCTGATTGAAAAAAAAAAGAAACCTGTCCCTGGCCCCACTCTTTCTCTCAATTCCTCATGTATATTTCACTCAAGTTTGGCACGCCTAAAACTTAACATGTCTAAAACAGAATCCGTTCAGTGAATAATTGAGTCTTTTTACATACAAACAACTCTGAGAAACAAGGATGCGTGAGATGGCTTCAGTAAACCTACATGCTTATTCTTGTTGCCTCTCTTAATAAAGGCATCATCATTATCCTAGACTCAGACTTGAAACTCCAGAAATAATATTTGATTTTCCATTCACCATTCAATTAGCGTATGTAGCCTGTGGACTCAGCACCCGCAGTGTTTCTAATAAACCCTACTCTTTTCCATCCCCACAGTTCTACTTGAAGATTTTCTTCCAAATGTTGTTCCACATGGGTCATGCACAAATACAGGTTTACTAAATAGATCTTTATCATAAAGAGTCAATATTGATAATCACATAAAGTGGTTCATCTCTTGATACTCTTGTTTGGCAGAATTCTAAGAAATTCAACTTGTAAAACAACTGGGCACATGGGCTGTGGAAGCAAAGCAGACACTCCCTCTTTTTTCTCCTAGTCTAATTCTGGGTTCATTTCTGAGCAGACTCTGCAGTTGAGTTACCAAGAACAGCTGGAACTCTCAGAGGTGATGTGATATTTAGATACAAGCCTGGAGCAGCAGGTTAAACTTATTCTCACTCACTAGCTCACATCACCATCTATCAAAATATTGGTAATGCCACCAGACTGCAGCAACAGAATCCAATTTTAGTAAGACATTCATGTTCTTTAAAACTAAATTTCTGAATGCAATGGAACAATCAAAAATAAAGATGTAGAAAGCTACCTGAGATATTTTATCGAATTAAATAAACATCGTGATTCTTATTTTAATAAAATAGATATGTAGGAAAATGTCTGAAAGAACGTAAACGAAATATTAGCAGTGTTACCTTGCACAATGGGATTACCAATGAGTTATCTGTATGTTGTACTTTTTTTTTTAAATAGTGAGTATCTATTACTTATGTTAAAAATTTTTCTAACCAGTATTTCCCAAGATCCAAATGCACAGCAATAAAAACTAGTATGTGTATTATCTCTTCCTTTTATCAGTATTTTTCCAACTGTGGGCTCTCTACCTCAACCAAAGTTTTTACATTAAAGTGTTAAATAAACTTGAAGTAAAAGGGAAGAGTAACATACGCTTATAAAATGTAGAAAGAAATTTACAGCTTAATCCTTACTAATGATTTATAATCAATCTACTGGGTGAGGAGACCAGATAATTAGCTAGTTTGAGGTATAAGCAAAAAATAAACCATAGATTTTACGAACTTTTCCCAGTTGCCACTGGCTTGTTATTACCATAACACAAATAAGTACTGTATTAGATTGTCCAGGGAATAGATGTACACCAAAAAAAGACTAATATTTACAGAGAGTATGCGATAAAATTATTCCAACAAAAGAAGAAATTCTCTTTTTTTGAGAACAATTATCTCGTGATCTTTCTGTTTCAAATGCAGAAGTGCTGCTGTGAGCAGTCTTAGCTGCTGGTCTCCAAGTCAGGAAGCCAGGGTCCCTATTCTGTCACACAGCTACTAGTTAAGGCCTAGAGTGTGTTAAGTGAAAGTTATGTGAACTTTCCTGGAATTGTTTTTCACATGTTAATCAAAATAAGCTTAAAGGGTCCAGCCACCCATAAAAATCCCAAGACTCTAAAGGATAACTTTTCTATTTCTCTTTGTTTCAGCAAAGCACACCTACAGACACCAACAATGGTGGTACAGAGCTCAGACTAATCCCCTCTGCAAGTACTCAAGGGCATTTGAGGTAATTTAAGACACTTTACATACAAAAAGATGGAAAGCTTTTCTTTAGTGTTCCTGCAAGTAATTTGGCAGTGTTAATTTCTATCCCACCTAAAAACAAAAACAAAAACAGGAAAAAAGAAAACAAAACAACCCTACCAGTGAAGGATTAACACTGCAGTTCTCAATCTCATTAAAATACATTTTATAATACTAAAAACCTGGCAAAGTGGCAACTTTTACTTTAGTCATTCAAACATACCCCAAAACAAAAGTTCTAGAGGTACAAAATTTACAGCAATAAGCGAAAAATAAGAAAAAAAAAAAGAAACAAAGAAAACAGCGGAACAGAAAACCATGTGCCCCAATAATCCCGACTGTGAAGTTCTCCCCTCCCTTTAATTCCAATGCAAAGAGGCTGTTCACACTGGGCGCTGCCACGTTTGTGTCAAGGAACAATATTCACAATAATGATCAGGCCCTCAGAAATTCAAAACACTCCTTTCACCTTGAGAAAGCAGCTTTCTTTTCCAAAGATTGAGACATTGTAGCCAATCCCTTCATGAGGGAATGTGCAGAAGGGGGACTCTTCTTGAGAAAGAGAAAGAAATCTTTTAACAAGGTCTCAAGACGAACCGAAAGTGAGGCAGGGAAGTGCATATACTAAACAAGGCTCAGCTCTTCAACATGGAGTGTGCAGGAAATCTCAAAAGCATCAAGGATTGTTTCCCTTTTCCTCCCTTTATTAGCATCAAGAAAAAGGATCCCTCTGTCTCCATGTAAGGAGTGAAACAGTAAAAATCCTCCTGATTTCCACTGACAAAGGCTCTCTGCATAGAAGACTGTCATCTCTTTTTCAAATGAAGAGGAGAAAAGAAACCATCTGCACCAATCTAGATATACGGGGAGAAAGAGATCTCTCCTCATAGGTATAGAGTCTTATTTTTCTTGAGAGAGTAAGAGAAAGGAAGAAGTTAGAACTGCCCTCTTGGGGATGGGGAGATGTGCAGATAGACCGAAGCTTTTTTGTCACTAGAGCAAGTCGGGGGAGTGGGAGAGGACATCTCTTAACCAGTCAGGAAGAAGTGATAGCTTCTAGGGACAAAGGAAAGGCTGGCTTCTGGCATTAGGGCTCCCTGCCCCTTAAGAGTACAGACCTGTTTCCAAAAGCTGAGCCCTTTTTCCTGATTATTTTCACTGAGGTCCTCTTTGTTAATTTGGCAAGTATAGTATGGTAAGATCTAAGGGGAGTGGAAATGTCTCTTTCTACACCTGGGGTGGGGTCCTTCCTCTCCTGTGGGAAAGGATGGGTTGAACACTACTGATGAGCATGGGAGGGGCACGCACGGAAAAATCTACTTACCTGTGCAAGATACTAGTTTTCTTTTTTAACAAATTAAGTAATAGTAATAGCAAGAACTTACCAAAAGCTTACTATGGTACTAAGCATTTACACAAATGCTCCCTTAGCCCTCAAGGCAATTCTAAGAAAAGTGCCCAAATTAGAGATGAACTGAGACTGAGAGAAGTTAAGCAATTAGTCAAGGTCACAAAGATGTTAAGTGGGAGACACAAGCTTGTAACTATCACACTCCAAAAGCCATGCGCGTAACTGTGCAAGGGAAAGGAGCTCACTGCACACCAGGAGACTTAAAGGGAAGAAAAGCAGCAGCGAGGCTCCCTCTGTGGACATGATGGGGGGAGGGGGAGAAAGGCTGACTTCTAATACCATAAAGTAGATTCAGGGTCTTCCTCTTTACATCTTGGGGTAAAGGTGAAAAATAAAGAAGGGGAGTCTCTCTCCTACAAGGAAGAAAGATTCCCTCTGTCACTTTTAAACAAGTTAAGAGTCTCACTCTTCACCTGGGGTCGCTGACCAGAGTGGGGGAAAGGTATGGTTTACGGGTTATCTCTTATCCCTCCTTAGGATAAGTTCCGAATCCCTCTCTAGCACTCTGGGAGAGGGTCTCCCTCTGCTGACGAACTGACAGGAGCAGAGCGAGCGCGTACGCCCACGACAAGGGGCGTCGTCCTCCCCTAGGAGAGAAGTTGGGGGGCTTTCTGGCTTATCGAGGTTGAAGAGGAGTGCATTTTCCCGTCGGAGCATGACTCGGAGGAGCCGTTTTCCTCTAGCGATGCGGGGCCTGGTCTCCTCCCTCTCCCAGGGTCTTGCTGCCGCCCGCAGCGCAGCCACCGTTCCTTTGGCGCCCGGAGAGGGCGGGGGGCCCGGGCTCCCCTTTAGCCAGTACCGCCGGGCGGAGGGTTCCCTCAGGGCGGAGTGGGGCGAGGCGGCTACGCCCGAGGCCTTCCCGCCCCCGGCCTCTTACCCTGAGGCCTGCTCCGCGGCCCGCGCTTGCCCCGCCAGCTCTGACTCTTCAGCCGCAGCCCCGTCGCCTCCAAGTCTACCTGAACCTACGGAGCTGAGAGAGGCCGGGGACGCTCCGGCCACCGCCGCCTCTTCGTCTCTATGGTCCCCCTGCACTTCCTCATCCGGGGCCCGAGCCAGCCATGCGGACTCCCCAAGTCCCGCCCCCGCAAGGCGCGCGCGCACTCCAAGGGAAGGCTCTTCCCGCGTCGGACCTCCCGCCCTCTGCTAGTCCCCAGCGGCCCTCAACCCCGCCCCTGCGGCTCAGACTCTTAAAGGGAAACACAGGTTTTCCAGCTCTGCTGCTGGGAACCCCGGGGCACACTGTCGGTGTCCACTGCTACCACCCTGGACCAGGCCACCATTTCTCGATCCTGGACAGCTGCACCTTTAGGCGCTCCCCCCCCCGCTTCCATTCTGACAGCCTGAGAGATCTTTTTATAACGGGAATCAGTGTTTTGGGTCAAGCCACTCCCCTGCTTCTTCTAATCACACTGACCACAATATCTAAGTAGCACCCTGCCTCCAGTCGGTTACAGCACCTTGCTTTAATTTTTTCATAGCTTTAACACTAGCTGAAATTATCGTGTTTCATTTTCGTCTCTTTATTGCCTCGTTTATCATCTGTCCTCTTCCACTTGGTTTTGTTCCTCGCTTTGTGCTCAGCACCTAAAACAGTGTCTGGCACAAAAGTAGATGCTCAACAGACATGTTTGTAGGAAGGAAAAAATGTTTACCCAGGAGGGAAATGAGAGGGTCCAGAGAATGAAATCAACTTGCCCCAAATTATACAGCTTTGTGTTAAAAATAGAAATCTGGGGGCCGGGCGCGGTGGCTCACGCCTGTAATCCTAGCACCCTGGGAGGCCGAGGCCCGCGGATTGTTTGAGCTCAGGAGTTCGAAACCAGCCTGAGCAAGAGCGAGACCCCGTCTCTACTAAAAATACAAAAGAAATTAATTGACCAACTAAAAATATATAGAAAAAATTAGCTGGGCATGGTGGCGCATGCCTGTAGTCCCAGCTACTGGGGAGGCTGAGGCAGAAGGATTGCTTGAGCTCAGGAGTTCGAGACCAGCCTGAGCAAG